TATACCGTACAGGGTGTCCCAAATTGCTTGATTTTGGCAGTTTTCCCTATTTCCAGACCAGGTAGAGAAAAACTGACCTAGGGTTCTAGAGCTTGATTTTCGTGAAACGCCGATTGGTGAAAACCGCATTTCGATATCTCAAACCGTTTCCGAGATATGAGCAGAAATTGACATTTGACTGATTTCGAAAACTTGACATAACTTTTTTATTTTTGGATATTTTTCCAAACGGTGAAAAATTTCTATAGACACTTTATGATGTAGAATGAGATGCATATGTCAAAAAAAATATATCGCTTATCAATTTTCTGATATCATAGCCAACTTCGTTATTTCAAATAGAAACCATAGTTGGCTTTAACTTCATAAAATCGAAAAAAAAATAAGCTTTTCAAAAATATATATGTTAATATATTTCTAGTCATCCTTGCTGTTGATATAACGTATTTCTCTTTGAAAATCACAATTTGGCGACATCTCAACTTAGTGAGCCATGGAAAGCAAGAGTTGTTTTGCTTATCTGTCAGTTCGACAATAAATGAAATATCTAAAAGCTGTCACCTGCTTGCATCAAAATGTTTGAAAACTTTGAAAAATGCCAGATGTTTGTTTGCTTTATTGAATCAGGCCGAAATAATGAAGCTGCAAGAAATTTATATTTCGAACGATACCCTGAACGCCAGCAGCCTAGCGCCCAAATATTTGATAGATTGGAAACTAGCCTGATGCATCATGGATCATTCGTCAAGCCCAGATCCAGACAGTATGCCGTTGTAGTAGAGACGAAATAGAGGCAGGAGTAATTGGAGCGGTTTTAGAGAATCCTGAAGTTTCCACCAGAGAAATAGAAGTAACTAGGGGTGTGAGCAGAAGCCGAACCCAAAGGATTCTCAAGAAACATAAATTCAAACCTTATAAAGTCAGGCTCACACATCAATTATTTGCCGGTGATCAAGAACGCAGAATCAACTTCTGCAACTGGTTTATAAGGAGTTGCAATGAAAGTGAAAATTTCCTACGAAATGTTATTTGGACCGATGAAGCAAGAGTAACCAGCAGTGGAATATTCAATCGGCATAATCGGCATCATTGGTCGGACCATAATGAGCATGTTTTCCAACCTAGAAACATGCAAGGACGATTTGGTTTCAACATTTGGATTGGAATAGTGGGGCAACGAATGATTGGTCCTTTTATTTATTATGAAAACCTTAACGCCCAAAGATACGTTAACATTTTAGAAAATTTTGTAGAACCATATTTAGAAGACTTGCCTCTTGCCGATTCGATAAGAAAGTTTTATCAACAAGATGGCGCACCGGCCCATAACGCGGCGGTAACAATTAACAAACTGAATCAAATGTTCGGGAATCAGTGGATGGGAACACGGGGCCCCGTACCATGGCCTGCAAGATCCCCGGACCTAAGTCCTTTGGACTTCTTTATCTGGGGTTTCGTCAAAGACCAAATATTCAAAACCATACCAGGAACGCGTCAAGAATTAGAGCAAAGAGTGAGGAATGCCATCGCTCGAATAACACCGTTACAACTCCTAAACGCCGAGAAATCAGTGAAGAAGAGATGCCATCTATGTCTTGACCGAAATGGTGGACAATTCGAACACTATTTGTGATAAGCTCAATAAACCGTTGGAGATTTATTGTTACCTACTGAATTAAATATTTTGTTAAACGATTCAATATTGCTACTTTTTTATTCAATTACTTGTTTTTTATCACTTCATTATCATATAATTATTGATTTGACAAAAAACTCTTGCTTTCCATGGCTTACTAAGTTGAGATGTCACCAAATTGTGATTTTCAAAGATAAATACGTTATATCAACAGCAAGGATGACTAGAAATATATTAACATATATATTTTTGGAAAGCTTATTTTTTTTCCGATTTTATGGAGTCGAAGCCAACTATGGTTTCTATTTGAAATAACGAAGTTGGCTATGATATCAGACAATTGATAAGCGATATATTTTTTTTGACATATGCATCTTATTCTACATCATAAAGTGTCTATAGAAAGTTTTCACCGTTTGGAAAAATATCCAAAAATAAAGAAGTTATGTCAATTTTTCGAAATCAGTCAAATGTCAATTTTTGCCTATATCTCGGAAACGGTTTGAGATATCGAAATGCGGTTTTCACCAATCGACGTTTCACGAAAATTGAGCTCTAGAACCCTAGGTCAGTTTTCCTCTACCTGGTCTGGAAATAGGGAAAACTGCCAAAATCAAGCAATTTGGGACACCCTGTTCACCTAAAGACTGAAAAGACCTAACGACTTTATCCCTAATTTGCATAAAAAGCTGTTTACTAGCATGTTTCTGCTGTTCGCTTATATAATTCCAAGATTGGGCCAATGTCGTTGTGAAGTCGTTAAATAATTTTACTAAATTATCTTGAATTTCTGAACGGACCAAATTACTTTTTGGAACTTTTTTCTTTATAGCGCGCTTAGATTCATTAAATATATCTGTTTTTATTCTACAAAGATCTGAATGTGTTTCTTCCCAACTACGAGGCATTTATTGATAAAATCTCGACCGTATCAGTGATATATGTCCAAAAATCATAAACGACAATAAACTCAAATAGCCTAAATTTGAAAAATATTAATATTACGGAATTGCAACATTGGCATTCTTACGAAAATTTAATAGCTACTAACTGCTGAACGAGCATTATATAAACAATATAAAACTATCAACTATAAGCTAAAAATTGCGAAAGAACTAGAGTTCATTGATTTCGTTCAGACTTTGATCGCTGCAATCCATGTTGAATGTCATCGACGTGGAACCATTTTAGGCGTGGACATTTACAAATGAGAATAGAGTCACTCACCCCTGTTTTCAGCTTTCATATTTTCAATTTTGTTTGTGAGATTTACCCATATATAATAACCATAAAAAGATATCCATTTTGCCGAACGTGACATAGTGGTCCAGTTCTTCTTCAGTTCCTAGGACTCCAATAACTCGATTCACAAGTCTGCAATCACTTAATTCACAAACTGTTTGTCTGTCAAATGTTAGTTCATAGGAAAAAGGAATCACAAATTCAGGGTTGTGTCACCAAGTTATGTACACTGAAGTCTCTCCTTATCTGTTTTTTCATAAGTCTTCTGTAACTTTTGGAAAGTTTGAGTGCAAACTGCAAGATCATAATCACAACAATGATGTACATCATAACTTTCACGTCGAAACTCGCGTTGAATTGTTTCTCTTGGACGATGAAATTCGAATTTACGGCTCCATTTTCGGTAACATCTTGGGTGGTTGACTTCGTTTGGCCCATCCTGTATACGATATCGGCACAGATGTTGGTTCACTCAGCTTCTTTTACATATTCAACCAAAGTAAACACTTAACTATAGCGATGTGTTTATTTGGCAGGATCGCCATGTAATGTCGTCGAATTGGGGTGGATTGATCATACACACTATATATGGTCACTAGCTATTTATTCGTCATATGTATACAAGTATGCTAGATGTTGTTGCATCGAGCGACATTATGTGATTTATTAATTCTAATCGATATGTAGGTGAATTTCACATACTGCATATTGCTGACCAATGATATTATATGTATATGTTATAATATGTACTAAATGTAGCACACAAGGAGGAATGCAGTTCAAAAATTTCCAGTATAGCTAATATATTGTCTTTCTGACAGCCGACACAGAAGTTTTCAAATCTTAGTTTATGTCAAAATTATGTTAAGAATTCAATATTCAGTTTTCAGAGGAACTGTAATAGAAAGCAAATTTTCGAAGATTTTGACATGCTCCATAACTCAAGTTGAAATCTATATATCACTTTGGCCAACGTACTGTGTGTTGTAATTGAAATGTGAACAAATTATACTTTTGAATCCAGATTTGTGATCAACAAATGAAATTTTTGAAATATCGTCATATTACATGCTGACGTAATTTCAAGTGAATTTTTCATTATGCGTTCATGAATGTATTCATCTTCGATATTTCCTAGTTGATATCTTGATTGGTTTATACAGTTTCTTCTCATCATCATCATACACTCATCCCATCTTATCCCATCTCATCCAGAAGTTACCAGAACTCGTTCGTCTATAGAACGGCAAAGCTTTAAAATTCTTTGCCATTGGAGGTATTCCCAAGAACTTACAACCTCCAAAAGTTAAAAAAAAAACAATACCTACCTCATCCTCTCTATATCCTTCCTAGGTATGCGCGATGTTCTTCGAACATTATAGGAATTTCTTTTCGTGCGCTCCAAGAGATAAAAAAATACAGTTTTATGTCATCATCATCTATCATCCATCCATCATCATCCATCATCATCATCATCCATCATTATCATCAATCGATCGTCACAATCACAATCAGCCACCAATCATCCATCAATCATTTATTGATAATTCAATATTGACTGTTGATTATTAATTATTATTAATATTATGAAGGGGCGCCATGGCCGAGTTTGTCTATGCGCTGAAATTCGCTAGATAGCCGTTCACAATGCGAAGGTACTGTCGGTTCTAATCCGGCTTACGGGTGAGCATTTTTCTTTGAAATGTGTGATTCATGGTTGTAATCCTAGCAGCACCTCGATGCCCTAGAAGTTGTTTGGATTCCACTATAAGCTGTAGGTCCCGCTCTTGCTAACCTCGCACAAGTTTCGACTTCTGGGGAGTTGGTTCCCAACTTTGTATTAGCGATATACAAAAATTGGAAAAAAATATCATCATACCGCATTTTCTGTTTATAGGTAATTTATATTGAATATTATTTTGTATCCGTCCCTGCACTTGAATTTTTTACCATCATCGTTAAGTATTTTGAAAAATGACGAAAAATTCAAATTCAAATGTATAATTGACATTGAATGGAGTTGAACATTATGAATTCTTTGGCTATTTGTATATGATAAGGGTAGCTCAAAAACATTAAAACAGTTCCAGATTATAGATTTATTCATAATTTTAACTTTTAGGTGAAATTTCTCCGTCCATGTTGAGAGACATTGGTATCAATTGGGTGATTTTGGGACATTCTGAACGAAGACAAATATTTGGAGAAACTGATGAGCTGATTGCTGATAAAGTGGCCTTTGCTTTACAAAATGGATTGAAAGTTATAGCTTGCATTGGAGAAACTTTGGAAGAACGCGAATCTGGGAAGACAGAAGAAGTTGTATTCAGACAGACCAAAGCATTAGCCAACAAAATTGAAAATTGGTGAGGCACAATCCGGTATATTACTAACTAGTAAATCTAACGCTTGATCGATTCCTATTTTGTTGCCTTGAGAACGCATGGCACTGTAGTTCGTTTCAGAAAAAAATATCATATTGTTAGTTACTAATGCTAGCGTCAAGAGAGGAGTCCAATATCCAGTTTTCAAAATAATTCAATTGATTACAATATCCAGTTTTTGAAATGATTTGATTATTTTAATATCACGGGGAGTTTTATCATATAAATATGCAATCAAATATTTATAACTGTTTTGTCCAGTTGTGATATTCGATTTATATTTCAGTTTTGTTTTTGTTTCTCTCATCATTTATATCCATCTTCTGTGATTCTTTTGTTTGAAAGTTGAGTAGGAAATGGATTACATTTCTTTTTCAAACTACGTACCAATAGTTTCGTCGCACCTTGAAATTTTCCAATGTTGAAATACTGCTTTGAACAATTCGAATTCGGATCACACTGTTTGCTAGCCCTGTTCTTCAGCTATGATCTCGTATTTCTTTAAAAAATATACAGGGTTTCTATAAATGATCGTAACATCGTAGTAGCAGTTGAAATATTTTCTCCATTTGCCGCATTTCATTTATGGAGATTCACACATTCGAATTTAATTTCTGATATCAATCATTATACTGTCATAGCTGATAACTCACAATTGTCAGTTTTTCGTTAAAATTTTCAAACGATTGTGTTTTCTACTTCGTGATTGTCGTTTTGAAAAGAGGGATGGCTTATTCCTCGGAGCAGAATATATTTATTGTAATGTGTTATTGTCGAAATGGCACATTCATCAATGGTGGATGGAGTTACTCGGTAGTAGCCTGCAAGGATGAGTACCTGGCGAAATATCCTAATGTACAGATTCAAGAATCTTCTTTGAAAGCCCACATCAGAACAGTGATCATCAGATTCATCCAAACTGGAAACGTTAATAAAAAGAATTCAACATGAAGGCCCCAAATATCGGAAGAAGTTGTCGTGTCGAGCAAAATCCCCAAACGTCATTGAAGAGATTATCTTTTCAATCTGGTGTGCCACTAAGTACATGCCATAAAGTGCTCAAGAAAAGATTGCATATGCACGCTTACAAGACCAGTGTACTACAGCAACTTCTGCCAATAGATATCCCACGTGGTCTGGAGTACTGCCAAAGGATCCAAGATAATCTCAACGATGACCAGCTATTGGACCTAACATTTTTCAGCGATGAGGCTTGGATCCATTTGTCGGGATACGTGCTCACAAAATTTTAGGTTTTGGAGATCTGAGAATCCCCACAATTTCATTGAGACTCCACTACACTCAAAAAATTGGGGTGTGGTTAGCAGTTTCTCGTAGGCGAATATATGGACCGATTTTCTTCGATGGCAATATCAATCGTGAAAGGTACAGACAAGTGATGTTAGAACCATTCATCAAACAACTTGATAATGAAGAAATTCGAGTTGGCTATTTTCAGCAAGATGGGGCCACTGCCCACACCACACGTGCAAATTTAGAATATTTACAAGAATTTTATGACAACCGTGTGATAAGTCGAGGAGTTAATCCTTCTTTTCCAACACATTCTCCAGATTCGACCCCTTTGGATTTCTGCCTTTTTGGGTATTTGAAAGATATTGAATATTGATAATAACCTTGAAAAGCTGCATGCCTCAATAACACATTGCTACCAATATATTGGCCCGGAAATGCTGAGGAACATTTTCGACAACAAACGGCGAAGAGTTTTAAAATGCTTGGAGAACAACGGAGAACATTTAAAACATTTTATGTAGGTGAATGAAATAAACCGTTATTTATTACTTCTTCAATAAATATTTTTGATTTGTTCCATTATTTTTCAAACTCCAATATTGGACTTTCTTTCTTTGAGATACATTTCCATAGTGCATGCAAAACGATATAAAAAAAGATCCTGTATATGATCACTTCCTCTCTTTTTGGTTGTTAAATGTTGTTAACAGCATTAGTAGAAAGCGGCAAATGGAAAAAAATGTCAGCCACTACGATGTTATGATCATTTATAGAGACCCTGTATAAGGTTCTTCACATAAAATCGCTACACGGTATTACCTGAAACTGTGCAAAATTTCGGAAATTTCAAAAGAATCACAAATGAAGAAAACATACTTTCTCCAACTTGGACAGAAAAGGCATGTAGATGATCTCATTACTTTGGCACATTTCTTGAATTGTTTTCTTATCTCTTCTATTCACAGAGTGATCTCAAAATATTAACATTGGGTTTTTCAGTCATAACTTTTTTCCTTGTCAAGCGATTTTCAGAATCTCATGCTTATTCTGAAGCTAAAACTTCGGATGAAGAGATAGGAGATCAGAATAGACTCAAGAAGAACATTATACAGTGTATCTGTGTTGAGTTAAGATTCTGCAGGAGCGGTGGATATACTGAAAATACACACTATGACCAAGTGGAGTCATCTTCAGTGATATACATTGCTCACCAACAGCCATGGAACCATCCACGAAAGAGACTGACAAGTTATGCATTTCACGCGAACAATGAGCTAATATTAATTCAGTTGGGTTTTCGCAGGCACAATTCTTGGCTGAAACCAAGAAAGATCTGGACGCATCCAGAATAAATTATCCTTCCGAAAACAAGTGTTTATTTTCATTCAATTCTCCTCCTAACCAGGATTTCGAAGGAAGTTCCGGATTTGGGTTGAGAAATCTCTTGAACTATAGTGTCTCTCGTCTAACGGAAGTCCGGTATATTTCGTAATTGTTGAGTTAGGATTCTGAAATTTGCAGGAGCGGTAGATATACTGAAAATACACACTATGACTCAGTGGAGTCGTCTCCAGTGATCGCCAACAGTTCACAATTTTAAAAATCGGTTGACGAGGAAAACTGCAAAACCAAAAATTTAATTTTCTAGATCATGAATAAAAGAGATAAGAAGACAATTCGAAAAAAGTCCCAGAGACTCATTTCTATGCCTCTGCTGTCAAAGTTGAAGATAAACAGTTTTTCTTCATTTGGGAACCTTCTGAAATTTCCGAAATTTTGCACAGTTTCAGGTAACACTGTAGCGATTTTATGTGAAGAACCGTATGTTTTAAAGAATTACGAGATTATAGCTGATGGACTGGGCTAGCGAACAGTGTGATCCGAATTCAAATTGTTCAAAGCAGAAAAAAGTTATTCATACTTCAACAGGGGAAAAATGTTGGGGTGCTACGAAATTAGTGTTGCGTAGTTTAAATAATCTTTTAAATCAATTTCTGAATAAATTCCATTTTTTTTATATAAGTTTGGTCTACTCCTCCCCACCCAGAAGTCCCATGAAATAATTGAGACTGAACCATAGCAACAATTTAATTTCCAAACTAGGAATGCTTCATACGTATTTCAAAAGTATCTGGTAAAATACAATGCTCGTATAATATACAAGTTGTCCCAGAACAACGTATTATAAATTCTACAGGGTGAACTAGATATAAAAATAAGCCTATTGAAATCAACTCAACTCTATACGAAAATACACCCTTGGGCCGCGAGAGGGCAATGAATAATAATTTTATTACCAGATTTCCTTTAATATTTCGAAATCCTTGAAAGGTACTGCTCCGAAATTCCTAAGACAATTCACTATAGTGAATGTGCATGGGAAACGTCATACCTATTCAATCAATATACAGGGTTACAGGTATTTCGCATTATTTTTGATAAAAATTGAAGTTTTTTTGGGGTACGGCACTGATCAAATTTTGATGAAAGACAAAAGAGATTATCTCACTTTTTTCATACTGCAGTGTTATCATTTTTCTTGCTTTTCAAGATATCTAATATAATTCATTTTGGTGCTCCTTCATACTTGTTTATGATTATGACGATTATCATATTTTGCAGTTTTTACCTAATTTGTGTTGAGTTATTGACCACAATAATCATGTTTATGAACTACTTTAGTATAATGATAATGTTGTTGGTTATTTTCAAATGTATTTATTCATTTTGGAATAAAGTTTTTTACCAGAAACCCTGAATTGAAATTAGGAAATGACCAGCTCCCAAATCTCGCTTGTGAATTGGTGAACATGATTATTGTGGTCAATAACTCAACACAAATGAGGCAGAAACTAGCAAAACATGCTAATTCTAACATCATGACCGATTAGTAGAAGCAGCACCAAAATGGATTTTGTAGTTTTCTCGAAAACCAAGGAAAATGATAAAAAAACTGCCGTTAGAAAAAAGTGAGATGATCGATTTTGGCATTCTTTGAAACATAAAATTTAAAAGTTACATCAATTTTGCCAATTGAGATCTTACAAAATAGAGCAATAAAAAATATTTATGGATTGCATATAAGATATCACACAAATGATCTATATAAAAATTATAACATAATGCCCCTAAATGCTATTTACAAATACCAAGTATGCCTCTAGATACACCAAATCATTAACTCTAAGAGGCTGTCTGACTCGACTTTTATCAGGAGAAATGAAATTCATCACCATAATACAAGACATAACAGTGATTTGGAATCAATGAGGTTCTCTACAACCTCTGGTCAAAACTCAATATTTGTCAAGGGTGTCACTTTGAATAAGCTCCCTTCCCATATAAGATGTTCTCCAATAATGAAATTCAAGAAGGAGCTGACAAATTTCCTTAAACTTCAACTAGACCAAAATGAATAAATACATAAACACGCATATACAGAATGTTCTCCAATACTGTAATACAATGTAAAAATGTAATTTCGACGGTAAACTGTAGTTTTAGGTTGTGTTCATTATTTTTATTTTTCTTGTTTGTTTAAAGTATATGACAATGCCGACTGGCTTTATATAATTCAATTAGTTCAACAATGACAAATGACATATGTACTAAAAAAAGGAAAAAGGTTGGAAACGTCAAATGATACCAAAATGGAATCATGGGGGATTGGAATGGAAATTTTATTTGTGAGTTCTAGAGAATTTTTAACTGAAAAGGGATTTGAA